AGTTTTCTCCTCATCTACACCAAGAGAAACCAGTCGCCAAGGCAATTGCAGACAAGGTTCCAGTACAATTTTTCACATCTTTCCTATTTAACCTCTTCTCTTCCATCTTCCCTTGAGGGGATGTGACTCATTATTCTTGATACAGAAATCTATTGCTTTCTGTCAGCATCTGAGATCTCCACATCTGCAGCAATTGCCATCAGCTGTCTCATTGATCATCCTAAAAAGCTTGCCTACATCTACAAAGCTATTGCCATGAGGACTGAGGTGATAGAAGAAGGAATAATTCTTGCTGAAGGCCTGGAGCCAGAGGTGGAACACAAACAAGTTCCCATCAGTTCAGATCAGAGGGAGGATGACTTGTGTGTTTTTCTTTAAATTAGCCATCAGTAAAATCAGCATCACAAAAGGAGAAACCCAGCCATCAGCCCTCTCAAGTTCCTTTGAAGGTAGGAGTGTAAGCCAGTAGGTTTTTACAGAAGACAAGCAGTTGCAATATAATTGACTCACTCCATCTCCTTGCTCTGAATTTAGCCTTTTTAAACAAAGAACGACAGAACCACAACTGAAGATGCACACACACACCGGTTTGCATGAAACATCTGCTAGTTCAGACAAAAAGACGGTTCAACTCTTATCCTTCAAAGATTTCATACGGGAAAACAAACAGTGAAAGCAGAGTTCCTTATTATGAGGCCATTGATGGATGGCTGTATCGTGGGGAAATTGCCTCTTTTACATTGTTTTGTAAAGCACCATGTATACCAATTGCATATTTAAAAGGATAATAAGAGTGATTCATCTAAATGTGCAAGTATGTGGCTTGCATAAAAAGGTAAAGGTTCCCTTGCTCGAAAGCCAGTCGAATCCGACTCTAGGGTTGCAGTGCTCATCTCAGTTTCCAAGCCGAAGAGCCAGCGCTGTCTGAAGACATTTCCGTGGTCATGCAGCCGGCATGACTAAACACCAAGGCACACGGAACGCTGTTACCTTCCCACCGAAGTGGTACCTATTTATCTACTTGCAATTTCTTTCTTTAGAACTGCTAGGTTGGCAGGAGCTGGAACTAGAGACGGGAGCTCACTCCGTCCTGCGGCACCCGGGTCTCGAACTGCTGAACTACTGACCTTTCACAGCCTGCAGTTCAGCGTCTTAAGCACTTGAGCCACCGCAGCTCCATATTGTATGGCTTGCATACAACCTTGCAATTTTGCCATGGAGAGCTTGGTCTTGGTCACCCTGCTACACTGGAAACTGCAGCTGCTTCCATGGTAGTAAATTTTCTTCCGGCTAAGAAAACTAAGGCATACCAGATCAAATCTTGGCCAGGCAACCAGTCTCAGCCAAATCTCCCTCCCAGGGGTGTTTTTCCACAGAAAAAATGAGGATGGAATAAGAACATTGTAAGATGCATCATTGGGGAGAAATGCAAGATATTAATATATAAATAACATACACCAAAAAGGCATCTTGTGGCACCTTTAACTTAAAGGTTCATGGAAATTTCATAGACCACAGATCCCACTTGATCAGATGCACAGATCTTCTTAGCTGGCAGATATGTGAACAGTGGACTCAAAAGGTCATGAAATGCAAGAGGGACAGCCTGTGACATTTCTATGCACAAATCTGGTCCAAATGTGTACAAGATGACTACTGCAGCGATTTGCAAGAAAAGAGTTTGCTATGCTAATTTAGTACCTGTACAGGAGGTGGGTTGGTCCTGATTGAGACATAAACGGAATAAAAACACATTCAAGTGTACAGGCTTAGCACTGTAAGCACTCAAAAAGTGTGCAGCAATCACAGGCAATATCTCCCAGTTTCCTAGCCAAGGGCTATAATCCTATGAACACTTTTCTGACGGTACCCCATCGAATAAAATAGAGCTTGCTGCCAAGTAGACATGCTTAGGATTACTCCCAAAGACTCATTACTTGTTCACCCTGGATCATGGCATGCCTGAAATGGCATGAGAAGGTGAGAAAGGGTTGTACCTATGGCCCCGATCCAACAAGCATTAGCTGTATACAGATAACCACTGTGGCATAATCTTTCACATTGTGCTCCAAAATGACTAAGATGACGCTTGGGAAACATTTTGAGCAATTGGAAAAAATCCTCATGATGAAAATGGTGATACTCTGAAGTAAGACATATTGATAATATTCTGTGATGTCACTGGTGGAAAAACACCATAAAAGGGGAAGGGTGTTAATTAAATCAAAGAGCACAGTAGGACATCCTTAAGCATACATTGCCACATTCCGCTCTTAACCTTTGAAATGAACAGCTCCCCCCCCCACACACACACAGCCATTAAGGAAAGGAAAATTGTTCTAATGATTTTTGCCTCCCTGCAAAATTTTACTTACTTAAAAACAGGCAGCTGTTAAAGACATAGGAGCAAGGCTAGTAAAAACGTTGGCAACCGTGTGTTTAAAAATACAGGTAATGGTGTACACTAATTTAATTTTATACCTTCTATTCTCCTCAGTAGTGGCTTACAATAGCATTGTTCCTTTCTCTATGTTAATCTTACAACAACCCAGTGAGGTAGATTAGGCTGAGAGACAGTGACTTGCCCTAAAACACCCAGTGAGCTTCTGTAGCAGAGTAGAGATTTGAGTCTCCCAGACTGTAGTCTGACACTTATCATGCTGGGCTTTTTTTAAAAAAAGGACCAATATAGGAAAATGTGTGTTCCTAAAAGGAAACTTTAGTCCCTTTGAAAGATGAAATGGGAATTTGGATTTGTAACCTTCAGATAACAACCACTGAAATAGAGAGTCTGATCATTCAAAGTCATTCACTCCTTAGTGGGCACAGTATTCTGTGCCTGGAAGATCAGACGTTTTTCCTTCTATGCTGTATTTGAAGTGCTGAGTACAGCCACTGTCTACAGGTATACACGTTTGCAAGCAGAACTAACCAGCTTTTCACACTCCCATAGGCTGGTTATGATCCCATTCATAAATAAGAATCACCTCTGACTAGAAGAGCTGGTTTTTATACCTCGCTTTTCTCCACCCTAGGGAGTCTCAAAGTGGCTTATAAACTTGCTCACATACCTATGTACTTATATGCTACCTTTCCATCTTCAAAGTCTCTTAAGGCAAGAAGCTTATATATGCACAAAGTGTTGGTCCAATATGCGAAGTTGGTTTTTGGACATCTAGAACGACTGTGTACACCAAATCCAAATGCCCCTTTATTTGAAAATGCTTTATGCTCATTCAAGAACTCTGGTATCACTGAACAAAGCATAAGGGACCCCGCAGCTCTGCATCCTCAACGTGCAGAAATTCAGATCTGGAAAAGTTCTGAACCGCCAGAGGGGTGTGTGTATACACACACACGAGACACAGAATAAATTTTCACTCACAACTTTCCAGAGTGCCACAAACACAATTCAATGTTACACATTCATTTTGCTGTATCTAAAAATGATAAAGAGTCTGTTGGCTTTCTAAAAGATTAACTTTTTGTGGGCTAGAGAAAGTGAGCTGTGGGAAAAGGCTGTGGGTCAGTGCCTTACACGCAAAAGGTTTTAGGTTCAATCCCCAGCACCTCCAGATAAAAAGATCAGGCAGGAGGTGATGTGAAACACCTTCACCTGAGATTTGGGAAAGCTGCTGCCAGTCAGAGTAGTCAGGATGGACTTTGTCAGACCAGTTGACTGACTCAAGTAGAAGGCAGCTTTGTGTGTTCAAAAGGTTCTGCCACAACAAATGTGCTTGCTCATAAGATGCCATCTGACTCTCTATTGCTGCATCCAACTAACCCATCTCCTCCTCCTCTGGAATTTCCTCCATCTGTTTGTTTCTCTCCTGGCTGTAAATGAAGAGTCTATTTTCCAGTGCCCAATTCCACAAAGCAAGAATTTTCCAGTGAATTATATGCAAGGCAACTTCAGGGTTAACAGAACATCTCACTTCAACTTCAGCTGATCTGATTTATCCAAGTCAAGCTTCTTGAAATCTGTCAGCTTGATGCTCCACGTACATCCCAAGAAGTATGCTTTCATCTACAACAGCTTGCACCTTAATAAGCCTGTTAGTCTTTAAGATACCACAACATTTTTGCATCTTTCTCCTGCAACAGCAATAAATACCTTCCTAGATTTAATCCACGATGTTTCATTAGACACAAAAACTATCACTCCAATCCACAAGTCATCAACTCCAAAGTAGATGTATTGAAGAAAATAGAGCTGTTCCAGACCAAGCCTGAATTGCCTCACAATAGGTTACTGGATTTTGGAAGCTCTCCAAACCTGTATTTTCAACAACATTTGGAATATTTTTTAAAAACGATGAAAATGTTACTGATCCTATGCACAGTATTCTGGTTACAGAACCTTCTCAGCAAAAAAAGAAAAAAAGAACTGTGAAGAACTGTTTGCCAGATTCCTTAATTCCACTGCTGTTCTTTGTGTGTTAAGAAAAACCAAAACTAAAACACATCCAGGGAACATTTCATGGAGAAATAACCTTAAATAAGAATCACTTCCAACATATATTCATAGCCAGGGTGGTTTTAATTGAGAAACACCCATAAACTAAAACATCAAAGAAACAGATCTTTCAGTTACCGGTTCTCAAAATCTAAACACTTTGCTTCAAGCCCAACTTATTTCATCATGAAAGCTAAGCACACATTTGATTTTCATCCATTAAAATCAACAGGAACTTTCAAGAGTTTTTAACTTAAGACTGGATCATTTTTCTTACTTCATACGTAAGAGACCTTAAAGCAAACCACAGGCATGCACACATGCCCCAAAGGCTTGCAATATTTAGGAGAATATCAAAGCACTCCACACAACAAAACAGAAGGCTGAACTTAAAGGGTTCCCCAAAAGGGGGGGGGGACTTCCCCCCACCCTTTGCTGTAGCCAGAGAAGCGGCTCCCTTAAATTCATACAAAGGACAAGCAGTTTGAAATCCATAGTGTGAGTGTTGGGGATTACACAGAATAATAAAAGCCGTTTGACTTACTCAATCTCATTAGACATGTTTCCCCACAAAATTTTCCAATCCGTCCCCAGCAATCAGACCTTTCACCGTTTCTTCCTAGTACCTTCTAAACAGAGACATCACCTGCAAAGTGAAGGGTTTGATTCACCTTAGAGGTTTATGTGTGTAAGCATTCTGCTGACAGGTAGGTTCCCTCTGAACTTGGCTGCTGATTGGCTGGAAGAGACAGGTGCCAGAAGACAGGTACACCTCAGCAGGTGCAGCAGTTTTAACCCTTTGCAAACTGGGCAGTGAAGCTGAGCTGACAGTGATTCCCCTTTCTGAACTGGGGAGGAGGAGGAGGAGGGAAGCGCCAGGGAATGTCCCTCAAGGCAGAAAGAGAAAGGAGTGGATTATCTCATGAAATAATTAGTTTCATGTTCATTATCAGTATTGTGGATTTTAGGCACAGCTGGAGAGAAGTTGTCCACAATACCTGCCTGACATTCTTGGAAAAACTAATTTTTCTTGTTGATGATGAACAAGCTGTCCAGTTCTTTTGCAGTGTACAACATGTGATCTGTATGGTGCACAGGTGGCCACTTTTGCACAAGAAGCGATTTCAGCTGCTTTTCTTACCCATGCAGTACTGAAGAAACTGCACCCTCTGAAATCCCCCCCTTCTGCATGCTTATTTAAAAACAGAAGGTTTGCGCTGCATCTGGTCACTTCACATAGTGTTGGACTAAGATTGGGGGGATCCTGGTTCAAATCCTCACTCTGCTATTGAAGTACACTGAGTGACTTTGACCCAGTCAGTCATTTTTCCCAGCCTAACCTACCTCGCAAGGTTGTTGTCATGAAGAAAAAATGGAGGGCGGAAGAATGATGTAGTGAGCTGCTGTGTGTTGCCGTTGGGGAGAAAAGCAAGGTAAAAATATCTAAATTACCTTTATTGTCGGGGTGGTGGTTTTCTTGCTATTCTTTCCATATTATCTTTAGTCTCTTCCCCTTGTTTTTCCATGACCTGGTTTAAAAAAATGACAAGAAGCAACAAAAAAATTAGACCTGCATTGTCACATGAGCCTGGCTTCTTCTTGAGCCCAAGTTGCCCCACCTGTATGTGCACAAATATGGGTTCAGGTAGGTTCTATACTGGTGTATTCACACTGTACACACATCAGCTGTGGGCTTGGTTTTGACAAAACTCATTGAGAATTCAGGCACTTCCCATCCTCCTGGAGAGTTTCTGTCACCCACGTTGCAATGAACAGGCAAAAGATGGGCTTGGCGTGTGACTCAGTTTGGCTGGGTACGGAAGGATTCCAAAAGACTTGTTAGAACAGGCCTTTTTGTCAAGAAAAAAAGTTCACATCTTTCTCTCACCTTCTTTCTTTTTCCTCCTCTGCTGTTTAATCTGCATTAACTCATCCGCTCGCCTCAACTGGGAACTACACCAAGGGAAAAAAACAGCCTCCGTCTCCTTCATCCATGATAAACCTGCAAGAATACCAGGTGCAGAAATGTTCTTCCCACACCTTGGGAACTGGGGTCACTCAGGGAAGGGGACAAATTTAGTTCCCACTCCACACTGTTTCCGATATACACAATGTGCTTCTAGGGGGGAAAAGTCAAGCAATGTACAACAGAGGGAGGGGGCAAACTTTCCTCTCATTTACCCAAAACAGGATGGACAGCCTCCACCGCCTACACAGAGAAGAACCATAAAGGAAAAGAGGACCAGGAACAGGGTTGCCAAACTCCAGGTAAGGCCTAGAGATCTCCCAGAATTTCAAGTGATCTCCAGACAACATAATTCCCCTGGAGAAAATGGCTGCTTTGGAGAGTGAACACTATGGCATTTGGGCCCTGCCCAAACCCCTACCTCCCCAGGCTCCACCTCCAAACCCAGATTTGGCAAACCTATTTGGTACTCATATCCTTATAACGGGGCCAATTACTGGTAAAGGTCTGATGATTTGTTACTGCGTGCATTAGGTGTGAGTTCCCTAGTTCTCGTACACGTGGGGCCTGATTCAAATAATGATTGTGATGGATGTGAAGAAGAGAATTTAACCTCCCATCCTCCACCATTTTCTTGGCTTGGAAGGGTTCTGGTGTGTATGTGTGGGAGGCTGAAACTCCTTCTCCACGTCTACCGCAGTTATGATTGGAATCAGGAACCACACATGTGAGAACTGAGAAATTCACATGACTGTCATCCTCCATCTGATTTTTTGGAAATTTGGCCAGGTTATATCCCTCACCATAGAGGCTTCACTGCAGATTTAAGTTTGGTGGGGCAAATCATTTTCTGAAGAACAGAATTTTCACAGCTGTATCTTTTATTTTCACAGCTGTATCTTTTATATATAAAAGGCTTAGTAATTTAGTCAGGATTCCAGGCTCTCCCATTGGCCCTTGAAGAGTACCACATCACCCGTTGGCAGATGAACTGCCACTCAAGACTAATCAGTTGGCATTGAATGGGTGCTGGGTCCGCTCTTCTCTCCCACCCACTGCAGCCTAGGTCACTCTTCTCTGATTGGGCCAGTGTTTCAATGTCATTTGCATATGGAAGCTGATTGGACCTCACTCCATTCTGCACCTCAAACTCCCCCCCCCCACCTGACAGTTGGAACTATCAGTTGCATATGCAACCTGGTGTATCCTGAGGTAAAATATGTCCTCACCCACAACACATCACTTCCCCTTCAAAAGAAACAAACAAACCCAATAACACAACCATGCCACACCACAAAAACGACAGATCACATCGCAAGCAGAATACCACAAGGCAAAAAATGATAGGAAAAGGTGCCAGCAGTCACCCTATTACTGCCACTGATATGTACCTGATAGCGCTTCAGAGGATGGTGTGCAGGTTGCAGGTTCATGTTATAAAAGCTGCCTGGGGGATTATGGACCATTCACAGACTTTCAACCTAACATACCTCGCAGGGTTGTTGTGTGGATCATACAGGGGAAAGGAGAATGATGTCAGCTGCTTTGGTTCCCATTGCAGGGAAAGAATGCCCTTTCCCTAGGTAGAGGCTGCAGGGAGGGGGGAGGAGATGTAAACCTGAAGACAGACAGGCAGATAATGGTAGGCTGATGGTTGCCTGGAAAGGACATAGGGTTGCCAACTCCAGGTTGGAAACTTCCAGGATATTTTAGGAATGAAGTCTGCTGAGGGTGGGGTCTGAGGAGAAGGAAGAGGGGGACCTCAGACAGATACAATCCCATAGACTCCACCCTCCAAACAAGCCATTTCTTCCTGGAAAACCATTGTTACCAATCTCCAGGTGACAGCTGGCGAGCCCTTAAAGCTCTGGAGCTAATTCAAAGTGCTGGGAATGTGTTGCATTCTGGCAGGGGACGCTGTGAGTGTAGAAAATGAATGTGGACAGAGTAGTGTTTTGGAAAATCTTTGGGAATTGTTTGGTGCATTTACCATGGGGCACCCACCCAGAGCCTCTGGCATTTTCTCACTCTGCTGGCATCAAAACCAATTTAAGGCAAAATAGAGATATGGAGACTTTTCCATCCTCCTTTGCATCAATCTGTCTTTGTTGGCAACCGCAGGCCTGCCAACACTCTCAGGGTGTCTTCATGCCTCCTGACTGGCATTACTTCACTAGCCATGGCTGCTTGCTCCTGTTCAGTAGGAGCATCCCTAGGAGCCTCCCTATGGAAGCTGCCTGGGTGATTTTGGACCAGCCACAGACTTTCTTGCAGGGCTGCTATACAAATCACAAAGCAGAAGAGGAGAATGAAGTAAGTTGCTTTGCTTCCCACTAATGAGAAAGACACAACTTTGTTTAGGAAGAGGCTGCTGAGAGGGGAGCAGCTAAAGTTGCCAACTTTAGGTATGGAAATTCCTGGAGATTTCAGGTGTGGAGCCTGGAGAGGGTGGGTTTGAGGAGGGGTGGGACCTCAGACAGGTACACTGCCACAGACACCACACTCCAAAACTGTCAAATGTGTCCAGGACCACAGACAACAATTACTGTCTACTATCATAAGGTATGCTGTTCTTCACTCCCACATTAGTTCTTTACACTGCAAAACACTACTTTGTGTTTACTCTGCCTGCAAGATACAAAATCATTGACCCTACCCTCTTTCTAGAGCTCGTTGTATTTTCCCCCCACAACAGGCCTTATTCCTAGTAATTGTATAACGCTAAAAGATGAACACCCCATATTTGATAAAGTGTGTGTGAACATGAAAGCTCATACCTTGAATAAACCTTTGTTGGTCTTAAAGGTGCCTCTGGACTCTGAATTTGTTGTACCCCATAACTATATTACTGTTTTTGGAGTTTTATAATATCAGTTTTTTAAGTAATCCTTGGTTGTGCTGGGTTTCCACCACATTGGGACATTCTTACCTCCAGGGTCGGCTGGGAGTCCATTGTGACAAAGGTCTAGTCTACACATCCAGGAGAATGGAGAAAGTCAGTATGATGTACTCAGGTTTGGCTGGAGAGACCTGGGTTCAACATTTGTCCATAATACAGGGCTCTTTTTGTAGAAAAAGCCCAGCAGGAACTCATTAGCATAATAGGCCACACCCAACAG